ATTGTAGAAGCAATCCATGGCCTTCATGAAATCTACCTTAATAATGTTCCAACACTTTGCATAGAAACGGCCCGTGAACCCATCCGGCCCTGGCGCCCTATCCGGGGGCATATCCTTAATCACGTTTTCCACTTCCTCCATAGTGAAAGCCACCTCCAACTGCGATAGGTCCAGATGCGGCAGGTCTAGCTCCTGTAGGTTTAGTGTGTAGCTCCGCGGCTCCACGGTGCCGAAAGCCCTGCCGTAGTGCGCATCCACCGTGGACGCCACCTCTTCCTGCCCTGAGTGTATAGCCCCATTGTATTTCACCGATTTGAGTACATTCTTCCGCTGCCTGTGACTTGCTTGTTGATGGAAAAGCCTCGTTCTCCCATCCCCTTCTCAGAGCTGCAGTAGCCTGGAGCGTTGTCTTGCAATAGTTCTCTCCAGTGAGCATAGCCCTAGCAGCTTCCTCTTTAAGCGTCGCCTCAAATCCCTTTCTGCGTCTGCTAGCTGTCTTGATTCCATGGCAACGTCTAGCTGCTTTATCACCTCCAATGCAATGGATATCTGTAACTTTACATTACCGATCCAACGGTTGCTCCACTTCTGAAGGCTAACCGCCGTGGCCCTCAGCTTGTTCTGGAGCGTAAGATAGTCGTTCGAGGCCACAGGGGTGGAGTCCCAAGCCGCCTGTACTGTTTCCATGAATCCCTCCGCCTTAACCCAGAAAGCCTCAAACTTGAACCTTTTCCTCGTCATAATCTCCAAGTTCATATCGAGAAGAAGTGGGCAGTGATCCGATACTGCCGTACCCAGCGCAGAAAGGAAACATGATGGGAATGCTTCATCCCATTCATTGGAGACAAAGACATGATCGATTTTCTCTAGTGTTGCGTTCTGCCTCTCGTTGGACCAAGTGTATCGCCGCCCATTCAGGTATAACTCCTTCAGTTCTAGCATGTTCACCTTAGTTCTGAACCGCCTTAACATCCTCCGATTAACCAAATCATTGTTCTTGTCCTCCTGCCCAGCTATGAGATTAAAGTCTCCAGCAACTAGCCAAGGCCCCGCGTGCAGGTCCCGTATATCCACCAGATCTTGCAGGAACTCAAGTTTGTCGGCCTCCTCCTGGGGCCGTAGACACATGTCAACCACCAGGCTTGTTCATCCTCCGGGCACTTGACCAGTGCCGTCAACGTATGATTTGTGTAGTGCGGGTTGGACAAGTGAGTAATAGATTCATCCCACGCCACCAAGATCCCACCACGTGTTCCCAACGCCGGTAGGTAGAAGAACTTCTCATATTTATTACCAAGGCATTGGCGCACAATGCTTGCAGATACATCATGCAATTTTGTCTCTTGTAGACATACAATGGCCGGATTGGCCGATGTCACCACCTGAAATAGAGCGTTCCTCCTCGCCGGAGCATTAAGCCCACGGACATTCCACACCAACATCTTAAGGGGTTGTGCATTCATTTGCGATGCCCACAACGACCCCGCGTAGTATAGCGGGCCACTAGGCCACGACCGGCCCGTCGATCCACGGTTCCTGGGGTGATTCCCATCCAAACAAGGCCAGCACAGCCGCAATGTGCGCGTCCGAGAGCGGGCGTGAGAAAAGGTCAACGTACATCCGAAGGGCATCCTCCGAAATAGCCTCTCCCTCATGTGCCAAGCACAACTTCCTGATGACCACTTGTTGCGGCTTGGATGCCGCATGTTTGGCAATCCTGGCACTCCTCCTCGGCGTGACTTCGATCCTCTGCTTCTTCCTTGCCTGACGGCAGGTGTGGGCAACATTCCTTCTAATCGGCCTGGGCAAGATCGGAGACAAGGGTTGGCGAACACCAGCACAGAATGCCCCCACGTCTACGTGAAACTCGTCCCCACCCCTGCCTGCATGGGAACGGCGCTGCATGGAATTCTTATATTTCTATCGCAAGGAATACCAAGGAGCAAATTCCTGGCTCCGCCACTGCTACATGTCCGTGCGATATGAAACCACCGGCGGCACAACAACGATGGTGATAAAAGTCCACCGTGTGTGCCGATGATGATTAGTTTCCTCCAGCCCGACGTTACTGCCCATTTTAATTCAGTTGCTCGAACATCCACTACGCAGGATCATCCTCCTTTCTGCCACCCGTCTGGTCTTCCACGTTCCACCTCCCAATGTTAGCCAACCATTGTTCCTTGCTTGGTTTTGTGTTTGCCGGCCATCCTTCTTCGTCCCTGTTGAGTGTATCTGCTGCTTATAGATACACGTTGGCTAAATGCGTATAAATGGCTTCCAGAAAGATTGCGTTGCATGAGTGGTTGGCGTGTTGAGTGCATCCGCTGCTGCACGGTTGATGCAATTCGACAGGAGTTAGTAGCAGAGTCGTACGGTCATGGACTACATACGATTCAATTTTTACATCCCCTGGAGGCTGGATCTGAACTAGACAACAACATCAATGACGGCCGTGGCCACCACCTCGCAGTCACTGTCCAAAGACACGCACGGTCCGGTCTGCCTGCCCTGCTTGTAGGGAGTCTTGCTCATCCAGCAGTGCGAGTGCGCCGACGCCGTCGAGCACAGGTACCCCGCAGCCGCCGTCGGCGACGGCCGCATGTGTGGCGCGCTCTCCCTGGCAATAGAAACGAGAAGAGGAATAGTTACGTTGTAGGTACGTACCACTTGGACAGTTATTTGTCTTTTTAGTTTATTTTATTTTGCGGGGTTATTTGTCTCTTTATTAATTACTTTCAGGGAGTGAGAAGAAAATTAGGTCGAACAAACTTAAAGCACATGTGCAAAATGTGTTTTATTTGCGTGGGCGTTTTTAACTTGTAAGTTCAAAATGTTTATGAAACTTTGATAAATGGAGCATGGTATTTCGAAATGCAATGGAACGGGCGGGGGTGGTTCCTTGTGCCCCGTGGCTCAAAAGAAATGGAGCATTTTTTTCCCAACATACCCAAATGCACACACATTTCATTTTTGTTTTGCATATCGTAGAAAGGGCGCAGGTTCATATATTAAATAAAGTTAGCTTTTAATGGAACTTCCTTTTCATAAATACTCCCTCCGTCCAGAAATACTTGTCGGAGGAATGGATGTATCTAGACGTATTTTAGTTCTAGATACATTCATTTTTATGCATTTCTTCGACAAGTATTTCCGGACGGAGGGAGTATGAAATTACACCTAAGCTCTCGAAGCAATGATGCGTTCCTTCTGCATCCATCGGCAGCGCGCGGTAGTCCTCATTATCGCCTCTGAATCTTGGTCTTACCGAATCAACCTTGTTAAAACTCGGCAGCTTGTAGAACACTTGGCAGGATGTTGTCAATGTAGATTTGAAACGCCAATAGCCCAGATCGGGCCCTAAGACTAGCCACAGTGGGAGTAACTTCAGTAGTAACATCGAGTCCAACTCAGCAAATTTGCTTATGTGGCAGTGAGTTAATGAGGAGAGAGATAGTTATAATAACTTAGCTAGTTACTGTAACATCACATGTCCCAATGCAATATGAGTCTATAACCTAATAAATGAAGCTTTGCATGTTACCACACTTATGTTACTACCCACTATGAAGGTAGTAACATAGCCTAGGAATATGTGTATGTTACTAGTGTATGTTACTACTCATTGTGGCTAGTCTAAGGCCAATATCAGACCCGCCGCCGCGCGGCCGTCATGCAGCTCGCCTTCGCCTCGCCTCTCCGGCTCATACCAGGCCATGCCATCTAGCACCACCGCCAACACCTCGTACCCGCCCGAGAAGCGCCACCATGATGCCCTCCCCTACCCTCCGTCTTAGACAGGAAAGACGCCATCGCCGGCGGCGACGGCGGGGTGCGCACCAGGGAGGGGGAGGGGCTGGTGGGGTCGGGGATGGAGCCTCCGCCCGGACCGGAGCGACCTGGGAGGGCAGATGCGTTTTCTCTCGGGAGTTTGCTCGTATCATCCAACATTGTTCTCATGCCTCAAAATCTGAGCTAATACCGATAAAGGAAGGATTGACACTGGCATTGGAATGGGGCCTTCTCTCAATCCATGTTGAGACTGATTGTCTAGAAATTGTGAACCTTTTGAACAAATCAGGCACGGATAGATCCCGCTTTTGATACATGGTTCATGAGATTAAATCTTCTTTTTGTCCGGACACGAGATTTAAATCACTGATGATCGAACGAAATTCTTGTATTACTCCTGTTTGATGGAACCATAATATTATTAGTCCTTTCTTTAGCTACTTATGGTAGAAGTAGTGGGAGAACTATTATGTGGCTTTTGGATCTGGTTCAGATGTTATTGTCGAACTTTGTAATTATGGGTGTAGCTCTGCTACGTGAGTGATACAAGTTATTTGCCGCAAAATAAATAAATAAAAGTAGTAGTATGTCTCATGTTTTGAAATGGAGGAAGTATTGGATAGTTGGCGGGACAAGCAAATTTTATGGATTCATTTCAATCTATCTAGTGCTATTTCTAGTGGTATGAGGTGTCCGCCGACTACGAAATGTTTATGACAATCGTTAACCTCAAGATCTATCGGCTCAGTCTCTCGCAGCTGCTCACAGGATTATGATGTACATGTGCACGTTCATGAGGGTGAGTGTCTATGCGTGTTGTGAGCGTATTGTGGTGTTTCCAAAAGAAAAAAAAAGGAGTTTGTTAGTTGAGTTTGGCTGAGCCGGGGCATGTAGTTCGGCCGTTGTCTGGCGCATGCATTCCACGTTCGACTACGCATGCAGTTTCTTGTTGGCGTGACCAAACTACATGAGCAAGCATGCATGCAGGTGCCAGTGGCCACGAATATACAGTAGAATTTTGGCATGCCAGCCGGCCTGTCGGCATCCCTACTCGATCTGGTAAAAGCTCGAATAATCAGCCATTTCTTGTTGCTTGTTGTACTAAGCTGCAACTCCTGGTTCGGGTTCGCGCGCTATATAAAAGGGTAGACTGAGGCACCCTTGATTGCCATTAATTCAAGCGTCTCAACTGGAGTAGTAAGGTCGTTGCCATGGATCCCGTTTCCAATGCTGTGCACATCCAGATGCCACCTGAGCCGGCCCAACAACCCTCTCCCCACGAGGCTCCTCCGCAGAAGGGCGTCCTCCCGCCGGCCGACAAGACGCTGTCGAGCGCGTCGGACCTCCTGAAGCTCCTGCCGACGGGCACGGTGCTGGCGTTCCAGGCGCTGGCGCCTTCCTTCAGCAACAACCACGGCGTCTGCCACGCGGCCAACCGGTGCCTGATCCTGGCGCTCGTCGGCGGCTGCGCCGCCTCCTGCGTGCTCCTCTCCTTCACGGACAGCCTCGTCGGCCGCGACGGCAGGCTCTACTACGGCGCGGCCACGCTCGGGGGCTTCTACCCTTTCAACTTCACCGGCACGCGCGCCGAGCGGGACGCGGTGTTCAAGGACCTCTCCAGGTTCCGGGTCACGCCCATGGACTTGGTGCACGCCGTCGTCTCCGCGCTCGTGTTCCTCGCCGTCGCGTTCGCCGACGCCGGCGTACAGGGCTGCCTGTTCCCGGACGCCGGGACGGAGACGAGGGAGCTGCTGGTCAACCTGCCTGTTGCCGCTGGCTTCCTGGCTAGCATGGTGTTCATGATCTTCCCCACCACCAGGAAGAGTATCGGCTACACGGATATGATGCCCCACTCGCAGTGACCACGCTCGGCAAACGTACGTGGTGGAGCTCATTCGTTCCCTTGGTCTTGTCTTGAGCCAATCCATTTTGAACTTAACCAAACTAGCACGGTGACCCTTACAAATACGAGATCGTCATCTTTAGTGTCTCAAAATTGGTGTTGTTTATTTATTTTTATCTCATGCAGATTTTTTCTTTCTTTCTATTATTTACCTTCTTGATTTCAAAGTTCGTGACTTTTAGACATGAGTACATTTATGAAGATGTAACTTTGACATTTACTTTGTACTACCTCAATTCTGGTTTATTAGTCCCTCTCTTATTTGGGCTAAAATTTGACTATAAATTTAACTAATAAAATGTAAACTACGTAACAAAGGTTGTACTATAGGAAAGCTCTTCCAACACAAATCCAAAAGTACATTTTTTTTGCATCATATAGTTCATATTGTTGTTAGTTTAATAGATGGTCGAAGTTTGACATAAAATACAATTGGGCCAAATAAACCCCTCCCTCGTTCAAGCGTATCCCTTGCTGTGAGTGTTAGGGGTTCCATCACCCACTAGTGTAGGTAGATGGGCCAACCCATTAGGAAACGAAGCGAAGCAAGTGAGCGGCCGCTAAGACCGATTTGAGGAAGCTTCTGGAAGGTTTCTGACTGGTTTTGGGGACCTACTAGAAGGTTACAGATCCAATTTTTTATGTACTAGTTTTTTGGGTTTTTCTCGTTTTTTCTTTTTCTTATTAAATTTTTTAGTCCTTTTCCATTTTTCATTTTCTACTCAATTTGTTTTTTAAAAATCATAAATTTCGGAAAATGTTCAAAAACTGTATGCAACTATAAAATTTGTCCTTTTTTCAAAAAGAAAATTGGGATTTATATTTTTTTAAGGTTTTCATAAACTGTTCATGTTTTTTCAAAAAATATTTGAAATTTCCAAATTGTTAGCAATAACAAAATATGTCCAGAATTTAAAAAATTGTTCACCTATTTTCAAATTCGAGGTAATTTTAATTCATGAACAATATTTGAATTCACGATTATTTTTCAAATCCGTGATAAAAATTCCAAATTCAAGAAATTATTTCAAATACATGAACAATTTTTTAATTCATAATTGTTTTTGAAACCACAAACCTTTTTTCAAATCCACAAACGTTATTTTAATTCCTTGAATATTTTTTTGAGTTTGTGAACAATTTTTGAAATCAGGAACATTTTTCAATCGACGAACATTTTTTGTAATCCAATTTTTTTTTTTGAATTTGTGAACCTTTTCAAATTCATGAATATTTTTTGAAAAATGGAAGTTATTAAAATTCATCAAGCTTTGTTTACTTCATGGATTTATTTTAAAGTTTGCAAAATTTTGGGAACATTTTTTAGCTTTTTATGTTGTGAGAAGAAGGAAAAACCACACAAATTGAACCTAAGCTATGCTACAGAAGTAGAATTCCTAAAGAGGCTGGCTGACCCGATATTCGAGACGTGAGCTCCCCCTCTTTGAGGCTTAGGCAACTCATCCTCCGTTATGTGGGTTGGCTCATAGGCGCGGCCTAAAAAGCTTACACTTTTTGTTACAACATATTTTGGAAAATATTTAAAACAAATTAAATATGAAAAAGGGATATATTGTAAAAATATGTTAAAGTCAATACAAAATTTTCATATATAGAATATATAATTA